CTTTATCAGCACCAGGAGTCTACAGAGTTCCGTGCAACTGTGGAAGAGCATACATCGGCACCACAAAACGAAGCATAAACACTAGGATCACGGAGCACAAACGAAGTTGCAGATTAGGACAAACGGAAAAATCAGCAGTAGCGGAGCACGCACTACTAGACGGCCACCAAATACGCTTCGACGAAGTTGACATTCTGCACCAATCTGAAAGATACTACCCGAGACTCACCAGGGAGGCCATCGAAATATTTAAACACCAAAACAATTTCAACAGAAAAGAAGAAATTACGGCACTCAATCCAGATTGGAAGCGCGTTTTGCGCCAAACAGCATGTGCGCCGAAGCGTTGGAACCCCCACCCATACCCCACGCATGAGCACACACGGCTGGGCGGCATAAATACGACTGGGAATCCAGCAGTTGAATCACTCTTAGTCGGAAAGCACGGGAGATCACTTCGCCCACTGCCTCATCGCAATAATTATGAATTAATTCAATCGCATTCTTAAATGGAAAATATGGAATAATTCTGGTAGTTTGTGAAAGTGTAGTGAACTTCTTGAGTATTAGTGGCTCGAAAATGGAGGATGGGACCTCAGCTTACAGAAAGCTGATAAGAATGATCTCTAATCCAAAATTCTTTTAGCTTTAACTGAGTTTAGTTTTCCGACAAGCCACTGAAGTTTTATGATTCTGTCTCTTTATGAGTTCAAATAAGTTTCGCTTTGGGCAGATTTGCTGTTGTACTAAACACATTTTCTTTTTTCTTTCCGAGTGGCACTATAAAGCTTTTGATAAGCTTAGCTTTACTTTGCCCCTGGTTGCATATCTCAAGGTTTTCTCTAAAGAACTGCTTCAGAAATTCATATGCAATTTGAGTTCCAGTTTTATGTTTTCTGTCGAAAAATATTAAGAGTTTTTGTTTTGTCTTTTTTTTTATTGCGAAATCAAAGAAACATAAGAGCCACAGAGTTCGCTTTTATACTATTGGATAGAGAATTGGAAATTCGATTCAGTTATAACAACGTGCGTGAGTAAGGTCACAAAAAGTCACACGAAATTTGAATATCAGATGTTAAGGTGCAATTTTACGCCAAAATTTCATTACAAAAAAGTCGTCTAGAGAATGTCAATCATTCAAGTTCCTACTGACTTGACTGCCTACTGGAATTTCTTAATGAAGAGTCTGCAGTTGCACAAACTCGTTCATTTTCAAATCAACAATTGAGAATCGCGAAAAAGTCAGGATTTCATGCGATTTGATTTAATTTTTGGATCAATTTTGACGACTTTTGGATCGCACTCTTCTTTACTGAACGCATAAATCTGAACTATCGCATCGCGTCTCACTGCGCCGCACTTTGAATTGCGCTTAGTATTTAACCCAGGAGCGGATTAAAACTTTAATAAGCCCGGAGCTGGAATTTAACATCTAACGATGCAACGCAACTGCACCGGTGAGTTACTGTACCGGTGCGCAACTTCTAAAATTTAATACTAATTTTAATTTGTTAAATTCAATGTCTGCTTGTCAGTTCAATTTTTTAAAGTGGAAGATTTTGTTCGAAGATCACTCAACTTTTGATATTCTACGTTCATTCGATTTGATGTTTTTTGCTCATTTTGCGTATGCTTCTTACAGTGTGCAATTTCTAAGCTAGACTCTAAGACGTTTCTTTTACAATTTATTTGTTAGACAAAAACACTGTGAGAATCTGTCAACTCAAGCCATTGGGCATAAAGGATGCCAGGCTAAAATATGAATTTGTTCTTTTTTATAAATAATTTGTTGCCAATTTTAAACATTATTGTTAAAACAGTGAAAATTCCAGCAACTTACTAAGTGCTTACTGTTATGTAAACATAATTTTCATATTTGCTGATGATATTATTAAGTTGCCCCTATGTAATAATGGTGCCCGTCAATAAACACATCTTTTACTTATAATTAACTGGCGTTTGAAGCGTTCTTTATCGTTCCACAGGCCCAATTCCTAATAAAATATTGGTGCTTTCTAATACAACTAAACGTTATTATTTATAAGACTACTTACTATCAACTATTAAAGCATATTTATAACTTACTTGACATTTATGAAGCACACTCGCGTAGAACCCATCATGCAACCCATCACACTTAAAGTCTAATACTTCGGGTACCTAAAAACATGTAATTTTAAGTTTTGCAATTAAATTAGTTGGTGAGCCATGAATGATATATTCAGTTCTACTGTTGCATATCAGTTTGAAGCGAAGGAAAAACTAATATTCAAAAAAATATTAATCAAATGATCCAGTGAATAGTGAATCATGTGATGAAAGAAGTAATAAAAAATATCAATGTAACACATAAAATAATAGCAGTAAGTAAGTACAGTTGCCTTTCGATCTTAGGTGTAAAAGTAAGTGAATGAAAGTAACTGATTGATTAAATGTAATCGTTAAATTTGCATGTTTCGTAGGATGTGCGCTAAAAATGTAGATGTTAATTTGAGTGATGTACAACACTAGAACTTATTAATGATATTATAAAATTGGCTGATAAACAAATGTACTTCACTTACCCTTTCATAGAAGGGATACTCCGACAAATTATAACCATTTAATTCTTTGGGCAAATTAGGATCCCAAATGTAGTCTATTTGAGGATTTCCTGTGAGAATTGGGCTCGTACTGTTCGTACCGTCTGTACTGTTGCTCTTTGTTTGCACCTCAGTAGTATTTGAACCCTGAAAGTAAGTTTTCAAAATCAAAATTCAATTTCACTTTTGGGCAAATCACTTTTTCATCTATAAATAAGGCCAAAAAGATATAGTTGTTTGTTACTATTCATAAATAAGACTGAAGCGAATTTGAAAAATTCATCCAGCAACAAACAGGGACAATTTAATCTACTACCTGAATCATATTGGGGAATTTTACTAATAATGAAAATTAAATATTTGAAGTTGCTTTCTTCTCCAAACCCCTCTTACATTGATTAATATTTTATTTTCTCGTATCGCTGCCATATTTTGCCAGAATTCAACAGACGAAGCAAAATTTAAAAAGGGCGGTGGACATAAATGAGCACATTCGCAAGACTAAGTACCTAAACAAATGAAAAAATCACACATAACTTGAATTGTTGCTACTGCTAATAATGCTACTGGACACGCATGTATACGTTTTGTTAAAGAATTAAATGCACGTTTCGGCTTCAAAACTATGTTTTTTCAACAATTTTTTGTAAATATTATGTAAACAACTGATGCAGAAAACCTATATTTATCATAATGCCACTAGCTAGAAACCTGAAAACATCTCACTGATTCCGCTGTTCGCTTGAGCAGTGCCTTCAGCGGTGCAGCTGCACTTTGCAAATAACAGCAAAACAATAATGGTTTGTTAATACAAAGTGTGACATTTTAATAGAAAGTCAAATCAAAATTACTTATGGGTGCAACTGATTCTCAACCTTGAATGCATCTAAATGATATTGGCGAGTCTGTTTAAAAGTAATTCCGAAAAATATACAGTCGAAAGTATTCAACACTAGTCTAAAGCTGCGTCCTCATCAAGTCGACACTGTCCTTCGACGATCGTATTATTTGATACTTTTACACTCATCGGGATCATGTCCCGATAACTCCCCCGAAGAAGAGCTACATTCCTACCACGTATGTCAGATACAGGCACAAGGACCCATTAAATCTATGATGTATCGAACAAAGGTACAGATTGAGCTGGGGTTAATTAACCGATTTCGAGAAGCCGCCCAAAATGTGAGCCCAGACTGCTACCAAGAGTACATGATAAAATGATTGGGACACAAACAAAACAGTTTATTTGATCGGACGAATTTACCATGTTAATGAGACCGATCATCTAGAAAAATATGGTTACCATCTTTCTGATCTAGTTTTTTTGCAAATATTTCAGTTTTTATTAAGAATGATTTTTTTCACTATTGTTGCAGTTCTCCCTAAACATCCCTACACAACGCCCGCACAGGAATGACGCCAATTTTGAACCACACTGTATATGTAAGGGCAGAGAGACCGTGGGTGGTAGGGTTTGTCGGTTTTTAAAAACCGGGTTTTTGGAGGAAATTATGAAACTCAAAAACCGGTTTTTTTAGTAGAAAATATCGCTTTTCAATGTATGAATAGCACGTAAAAAATGTGTAAAATTACAAATGTAGCCAAATGTACCAGATTGATAAAAACACTGTTGCAAGCGGTTTGGTTCTTGGATTCATTTCAGTCCGATATGATTTCAAGAAACACATGGTTTCATGAAATCATATCGTTTGTCTATTGGATGAATTAATTTAGATTTTATATCAGTTTGTCTTCTGGTTTCTTTATGTATAGTTAATAAATTCAGTGTTCAGTGCCATTGATCGTTATGTGATATAGATGATATTATACAAAATATAAGCAGGTAACATATTTTAATATCATGAAAATATAAATTTTAATTTGTATTTTTTATATATTTGTAGTCCTAAATGTCAGACGTATGGTATTATTTCAAAAAAGTAGAAAAATAAAAACCCCGTTAAATTTATTGCAATAAAATGCTTACTTGCAAAGGATCAAGCACAAGCAGTCTACATAATCATTTGAAAACAGTGCACGATAAAATAACCGAGAAAAAATCGTCTAATGCCGGCCCGAGTTCACAAACAAGTAGCCATAGAGGATTCTTAACTTTTGTGAAATTTGTGTAAAGAACTAGTTTAGAAGAAATTGTATCAAAGCTTGCTGCATTGGATGCATGGATAACAAATAGCTCGTTCATACGAGAGTCATTGCAACAACGAAATTATTGCTGACCAGAAAATAATAATCTAGAGTTATGAATGTGATTTATAAGTTTTATGAAACTATAAATGAATTAAATTGTATGCAGAATGAAGGGTAACAATTTTCTATAACTATAGATGAATGGACTGGAGGTAAAGGAAATCGAAGATACTTAAATATTAGCGTACATCAAGTTGAAAAATATTTTAATTTAGGATTAGCTCCGATATCAAGTACTTGCTATGCTAAAACAATGTTAAAACTGGTTTCTGAGAAACTAAAAACTTTTAATCTTGATTTATCAACTGAATATAGTTGCAGCAACAAATGATGGTGCTGCTGTTAGAAAAAAATTTGGCCACATATGACGAGCGATTAATCAACTGTGTTATTCACATGCCATACACTTAGCAGTTACTGATATATTATATAATAAAAATAAAAGTCCATTGGAAACAGATTTAAATCCTACAAGTGACGACTCTGAAAATGACGAATCTGATAATGACCGAAGAATTAGACTCTCTTGACATAAACAATTATAAATTCTCTGTTCCTGAATTATTGGATTATTACAAAAATAGCATTTATAAAGTAAGGAAAATTTGCAAATATTTCAGAAAATCCCCTGTCAAAAATAGCATTCTTCAGAATCAGGTAAAACGGAAATATGAGAAAGAATATAATCTTATTCTTGATTGTAAAACAAGATGGAATAGTTTAGAGGCCATGTTAGAAAGATTTGTACACCTAAAAAACAAAAAAAAAGCAAAAAATAAATAGAATATTTAAATTTATAATAAAATTGCCCGGAATAGAAAATACTCGGTCTTTTGCTTAATTGTCTTTAAAACTTAAATTGATTTGAATAAGTGTGTATGCATAAAGTTTATTTACTCTTGTCTTTCGGCTTTGATTATAATTGACATTATATAATTTACAGTTATATATTTTCTAATTGTTTTTATAAGTATCCATCTGTATCTAATAACATTGTTTTAAAAACAATAATTTGGTTATTATAAAAATATGAAAATATATTGGTTTTATTTATTCGAACCCTATGCTGAACAACTCGTTTCACTATTATAAAAATATTTACATCCTTATATGTGAAAATTATGCATAAACAACTAATAATTGTTTTTAAAGTTATTTAAACCTGTTAAACTATTATTTCTTTGTTCTGCTAAATTGCATAAAAACATTTTACTATAATAATTTCAGTCAAAAATTCCTTTTAATCTCTGTAAATTTTCTGTTAAAATTTTTGGTTCGAAATACAGAATTTTCGAGCAAAACATTTTCTTTATAAAAATTCGAAACCGGTTTTCTGGAAAAACTATTATTCGAAAACCGGTTTTTTTAAATGTCGATTTTTGTATAAATCCTAGTGGGTAAACAACTACAGTTACATTCCTGTAGGTCCAGGCTATTTATTAAAGTTTTGGGTTATTGCTTTGCGTAACTCTTTTATAGTTTGATGGCTACTACAACAACAGCATTTTTGCCTAGTGCTCTGTTGTTCTTGATTTTTGATATCGACTTTAGGGCCTTTTCTTTTGTTATCGCTGGGATCCCTTCCTTCTTCTTCTTCAGCCTTTGTTCATCCAGTTTTTGATGTAGACCTCTTTCAGTCTTTTCCATGCTTCTCTATTCCTGGCTCATCCACTTTCCTCCAGCTACACGTGCTATATCATCTATTAATCTCTTTCGAAGTCTTCCCATGCTTCCTTTCGCTTCTCAAGGTCTCCAAAATGTTGTGCTTTTCACTCTGTATGACGACTTGAGGCTGCCATCTGAGCCTCGATATTCTGTCCATAATGCCAGTTATCTTAGTTCTTCGACGTATTTATTTCTTTACATCTTTTCCTATCCTTGGTTTATTATGCGGGGAATATTTTCAGATGTTTCTGCTTGTCTGAAGTTCATATAGACTTGATGTAAGATTCGTCGACGTCTTCAATTTGTCTTCCATCTTCATTGTTATTTGTCGATTTTCTCGCATAGTTATTTCAGCTTTTCCTTAGTTAGACATGGAGGCATAGCCTTGGATAATTTTAATTTCTTCAGTGTTGCTGAAGTTTTAAAGTTGGCACTTCCATGGTGTACAGAAGGGTTACACTTTCACATGCCACAATTTGGCGTAATTTGCGGAAGACTTAGAGCTTCGACAAGAAGATTGTTATGACTCACAGTCATAAAAAATGATTTAAATATTTTGTGATTTATTTCATTTCAAAGATATATATTTCTTATTGTGAGACCGATGAGAGTTATCATTATCCAGATTATAATTAATGGTATCTACCGGCTCCCCCCGATATTTGATAATAATGTTCGAAGGGTGTGTTAATAATTTACCAATTTACATTGCTTTAGTTTTTATTGCCAAATTTTGCTTCAGAACAAGAGTTCAAAGAAAACGCATAAGTATGGTAAGTAACCTGTTCTCCATATCTTTGAGACAGAGTATCTGTTGGAAACGAGCGAATACATTGAAAGCTAGCGAGTGTAGCCAAGCAGCTAGAGATCTGATAGCCTACGGTTTACGATAGTAAGTTGGTAAAGCAACCGCGACTGAATCTCTAGTTGTTGAAATCAGACTAAAAACAGTAATTAAACCGTTTTCAGTTTTATAAAGACAAGCACTACCTCCAAGTAGTGAAAACTATTTAAATGTTTTGTTCAGGTTTACATCCATGTCCAGACATACTTTGAATTTCCGCTAAATGCTTTTTATATCACATATTCAAAGCGTCCACCAGAAAACTTATTTTTAACACCATGCTGACATATCAGATCTAAACCTTCTTGTAATCAATGGAAAGTGATGTTGTAAGTGAGATTATAAAATATAGTTGATCAGTTATTTAATAAAATTATTTTTTACTGTTTTTCTGTACTTGCGAAACATTCCTAAACAACATTTATGTGGG